TGATAGGATGATAAGCCTTAGCCTCGGTGTGATCAAGTTTCCCAGGCCTTGGGATAAACGTCACCTTAACTTGCCTCCAGGCCATGGGGATGAAACCATATGCCATGCAGGCTCTATATATGCGCCATAGGTGTGGAACTAAGAGTTCTGCCCCATGCTGCAAAAGTGCCGGTACAATTCCGTCTGTTCCCACTAACTTAAATGGTGTAAAGGTATTCAGTGCCCATCTGATTTTTGATTGGTTAATTACGACTTTGGCCAGGTTCCAGTCTGCCCTGTTCATCTTGCTTTCGTAAGTGTCCAGGTTTTGCTGATCCTGTACATTGTCCAAATTATCAATCAATTTTGAATCAGGAAAGTGAACCCTGAATAATTCGTTCAGTGTCTCCCTTCCTGTTTGAATATACTGCTCTTAGGCAGCTTAATTGTGCTGACCTTATTGGTCACCTGTTTTGCCATGATCCTCATGAGCCTGGCACTGCCTGGTTCGTCATTGATCTCTTGGCAGTGCCTCCTCCACGGTGATCGCTTGGCTTTCCTTATTTCTTTGTTGGAACAGGTAAGGGCTTCCTTGTAGGTGTTCCACTGCCCTGTTCTTTTAGCTGTATTAAAGAGCCTTCTTGTTTTGGTTCTAAACCTACTCAGCTGTTTATTCCACCAAGGCGCTCTCCTTGGTCCGCGAGTGGTCCTAGCCGGACAATTCTGATTAAATGACGAGATAATGGCCCCTTTCAACTGGTCAACAGACTGATCAGCATCCTTTATTGTGCATATATTTTGCGAGATGGTCTCTAAATTTACCTTTAGGTCGTCTTTATAAGACTCCCAGTTGGTTCTCTTAGGATCCCTATAAGTAGCTTGATCTACTGTAATGTTGCTTATTTGAGAGGATATATATCTGTGATCTGATAGGNGTAGGCCTTCTCGGCCCTTGCACCACGACCTACAGTGGTCTGTTGTGCTTCCCCTTTTGATTATCCCCTCAGCATTCCTGCTCTTAAAATCTTCAGCTCCAATCTTAGCTAATTGGTCTGCAGTTTCGTTCCCAGCAATACCCTCATTCCCCGGCACCCATATCAGTTGTACCCTGTTATGTTTGGTCAGTTCCATGAGGGTGTGGTGGCACTTTAAGTGCATCTTGGATGTCAGATAGAATGTAGATGTTCGTATTTCTATAGTTCCTGTCTAAATTCTCCATAATACATGCCATAATGGCATATACTTATGCCTGGAATACTGTAGTGTACTGCCCAAGGCTGAAACTATATTTCTGCCTCGTGCTATAGCAGTACACACGAGCTGCAGTGCCCTTATTTATCTTGGAACCATCTGTTTACCAGATCAGTCCCCCTTTTCTATTGGGCCGAAACCCGTCTTTCCATTCACTCCTGTCAGGAAATCTGACTGTGAAGGGTGTTTCATATACATGTCTCAGTATCATTTTGTCAGACCCCATTTGTAATATGGGTTCTTTTTTCATGTCCTAAATTATGTTTGCATGGGCGAAACCATTGGATCTAGGTTTCCATTGATCACTGCACTGGAGACAGTAGATTCCTGCCCTGGCCTCTGCCTCCAACTGTAGATGCAGTGGGGGAGTCCAAAGAGTATCTCCAGTGCAGCTGTTGGAGATGTTCAAATTGCTCCTGTGATACCCAAGCAAGCCAACCTTTGCAATTTTCTAAGTTCTGCCTTGCTTGTCTTGAGTTTAACTTTGGGCCACCATACTGTGGCGCCATATGTAATTATGGGTCTTACAACCGCAGTGTATATCCAATGCACAACGTGCGGCTGCAGTCCCCAAGTTTTACCATGTCTGCATGTCCAAAAAGCCTATGTAATTATGGGTCTTACAACTGCAGTGTATATCCAATGCACAACGTGTGGCTGCAGACCCCAAGTTTTACCAAACATTCTGCATGTCCAGAAAGCCTTATAGGCTTTGTTAATGACC